GGAGGAGGTGCGGGGGGGCAGAGAGAAGACATCTGGACGAACTGACAAATCGAAGGAGGAGAGGAAAAAGGCCTTAGAGACAACCCTTGCGGCAGAGTCTAATGCAACCTGCATCATGCATAACAAAACACAGCTGAACCAACTCCCAGTGACGGGTGGAAGGGATATTGGCACTCCCCGCCAACCAACTAGGAGGGCCAAGCCGAGTATCTCAGCTGGAGAACGCGCAGCACGCCTCAGGGGGCCACGGAATTTCCCAATCCGAAATGGAAGGCATGAGGAATCGAACCCACGACCTCCCGAATGCAGCTTCCGTGCTCTACCAACTGAGCTAGGCTGCCTGAGGGGATAGGTGCAACCCATAACCCCTGGTGCAGCTGGCTTGTGGTCCATACATAAAGAGTGTAGCGTTCCAGGATAGGTAGGTAGGCAGTGGGAGGCACATTGAGAGCAAAATATAGATAAGTTAATAGTTATTAAAAAAAAAAAGTAAAAAAAAATAGACGATCACAAAGATACACACCTCTTGGAAGCGATTCTGCTTCGAACCCAATGCACAGAGAGCAAGGCGAAGAGACGTCGGCGAAATAGTCGGTTCCTGGCACGAGCTGTCCTTTGGTTGAAGCCTGAGTGCAACAAAGATATCCTTCAAGGCGCATACGACGCAAGGACTGCCAATGCATCGATGTTGCTCTTGAGACACGAAAACGTTCCGGAAAACTGGAATATGCCACAGCGACTGGGCAACATGAAACCAGCATGCAAACAGAAAATGTTGGTAAACAACTGTCTACATGACCTCTAACCTACCTTCAAGATTCGACCTCTTTTGCATGAATCACAACCAGCGAACGAGTGCAGTGTGAGTTGCAGTAAGGCGAATGTTTATTACCACATAGCAGTGCACACATCGTACAAGCCAATGAAGCTCGCTCTGTTTCAAAGGGAGTTACACAGCTGTCAAAGATGGGGACGCTGCTCAGCAGAGCCAAACTATGCAGTCGATAGCAAATTTAGAAGCAGGGGCAAGTGGCAGTAACCAACAGCATGTCATAGGGAGAGAGAACATACGTTCCGGATGCAGAACCATACCGGTACATGGGCAACTGGGCAGCGGAACTGACACCTCAAATTCTGGAAGCGTGAAACGAGAACGCGACCACCGATCCAATTTATCAACGGCAGGCCCAGCGTTTGACGTTTCGGCCTCGTTTTTTTGTGGCGACAAGTTTGGGACTGCAAGGCTGGGGCCTTGTACTAGTGGTTTAAACCACGCCCCAGAACGAGGCAGGTCCAGAGACTGACTACCAAACATTCGAAAGCAAGGACACCGAACTTGTGATAGCAAACTTAGAAACAGGGGAAAGTAGTCAGTGGCAGTAATCAACAGTGTGTCATAGGAAGAGAGAAATGCGTTCACGATGCAGAACCATGGTTGAAACCACACCGCAGAACCCAACGAGGCAGGTCCAGACACTGACTAAGAAACGTTCCGAAAGTCGTTTCATTTCTTTGGACCTCACATATGTCTGCACTGGTGCAGAAAAAAGACCGTTTTCTTTGCCCCCTTGTCAAAGCCATTACTAACCGAGAAACATACAGAGAACAAGAAAGACTTCCAAGAAAGGAAAAGTCGTTTGTCATACATCTGAGGAAGCATTACAAAAGCCACTGGACATGTTCACAGATCTTTGAAAACTCTCTCTCTCTCTCTCTCTCTCTCTCTCTCTCTCTCTCTCTCTCTCTCTCTCTCTCTCTCTCTCTCTCTCTCTCTTCCCTATACGACTTCCACTGGAATAGGCTTGGGCCCACGCTCAATCCCAACACTGACGCCCGGGTCTTGCATGGGAGCCTTACACAAGACCTGCTGTTACCTTTAAGGAGTTAGGCAGGATGTATCAGTCATGATGAGCAACCTCAATGCAAAAATGGTACACCCAGGACTCCCTAGATGGGATCTGGTTGAGTGCCTCTCGGTGAAGTGACTCTCTGGGAAAATCCCACACACCTTTGGCTTTTCACCCTCCTCCTACTCAACAGCACTCCCTTGGACCAATTTCTCATTCTAAGCACAACCACACCAGTTTACGAACCTGGCATCTGACCTATATGAGCTCATCACAAGGATGGCACTCTGACTACTCAGGAAGTGCTGGTTCGCAGAAACAAAGAGGAACATGGATATTGCACCCACAGACAAACGAACAGACAATGTCAGACATCATGAAAACAGAATTAGCTGGTTGGGAGGGGAATACTCGTGCAGACTCAACGGAAAAAGAGAAAAAAATCCTCTCTCGCTGTCGTTGGGAGTGTGAACAGACCCTAAGGCTCTTTATTTTGAGAAAGGAAGGAAATCAGGTGAGATGATTCGAGCCGATATCATGAAAGACTGAGCTGGTGATGTGAAACGATGACTGAGATGAACCTCAAAGTAGAAGAATGAAAGGAGCACGCCTAGGCTCTTGCGCTAATAACAAAGGTTGGAGATGAACTTTTTTTTTTTTTTTTTTTTTTTTTAGTTGGAGATGGACTTCATAAATGCATTGGTGACATCTTTGAGTTCTCTGCTCATACTACAGGGTTATTTCGAGGGTTCATGGCGTTGAGTATAGATAGAATGGACAATCCTCTCAGTGCACTCCACAAATAGAACGTGAGCCCTAGGAGCCATACACCTGTGTGTGCTTGTGTGAATTTCATCTTTGTCCCCCCCCCCCCCCCTTTTAATTGGAGCAAACAAAAGGCCCATGAAGAAAAATACCTGGATAACAACATTAAGGAAGCAATTGTACTGCCCAAATTCATTAGCGAGGCCTTTGCCCGGCACCATCTGCACATGCTCTTGCTGCAGAGGATCCCCTGCCTCTTCATTCAAGCCACCACTCTCTCCAGGCTGTCCATTCCTCAGTGTCCTTGCAATGGGTGAACCCCCTCCGTCCCAGCTGAAATTCTTTGGAGGATCGCCATGGTCTACTTCCACGGTCGCTGTTGCAGTTGCTGTTATACAAGCATCAACGCGGCACAAACCACAACCATCCCACGAGGATTAACCAAGAACTAAGAAGTTTTTGGACTCGGTGATCTGTTTCCATGCGTACATTCCACACTCCGTACCTGATGTGAGCATGGCACTGATTCAGACATTAAGCAGCGCATAGCTATGGAAATCAGGATCAGCTCAGGACTGCGAAAGAAACGGCCTGCCCACTCAATCAGCCCTGAAAGTGGATGTGCTGAAATGCATGACCCATGATCAGCAATGGGAGCGATATGATGCTACGACAAGGAGGAAGGTGCCGGGCCTGTTCTATGGAAATAATAAGGATCAGCTCAGGAATGCAAAAGAACTGGCCTGGCCACTCAATCAGCCCTGAAAGTGAATGTGCTGAAATGCACGACCCACGATCAGCAACGGGAGCGATATGATGCTACGACGAGGAGGACGGTGCAGTGCCCGTTGTGCATCCTGGAGCACAGGCCTGGGTGAAGGGAGGCTCCACTGCAGACCCCAGTTGCAAGACCAGGCATTCACATGAGAACTCCGAGGACAGAAGTGGAGAGAGAACACTCTCAGCGGCGCTGCACTGGCATGGTAGAAGTGGAAACCTCCACTCGAGGCACATCTCAAGCTTTATATCTGCAAGGCAAGTTGTGGAAGTGGGTAGTAATCCAAGCAATTTCAAATTCACACAACAATGCCCTCATGAGCTGTACAGACGCTTCACTTTTCTCGTTTACAGTCCACCTACCCTGGAATCAAGTCCACCTAAGATAAGTTGCAGCAGCGCTGCACTGGCCTACCCGAAGTGGAAACCTCGACTCAAGGCACATCTCAAGCTAGGATTTGCAAGGCAAGTTGTGGAGGTGGGTAGCAATCCAAGCAACTCCAAATCCCCACAATAACGCCCTCATCAGCTGTACTGAGGAGGCTTCTCTTTTGTCGTTGACAATCCACCTACCCTGGGATCAAGTCCACCTGAGAGAAGTTGCAGCACCTGACTAAGCACTGCCAACATGTTGCTGACTGAAGCGCTCATCAGTACGAGTCCCCTCATGCCCCTCTTGCCATTCGCAAAAACCCGCTCCACAAAATGGAAGTTTCATTTGGGGTTTTAGCTGAAGCGACAAGAGTCACATGAAATCCCTGTTGTGATTCCGCCCTCTGCACCCAATCCCACTCTTTCTCCTGCCCCCCCTCTCTGTCCATCATCTCTCATCCTCCATCCCTCAACGTGACCCTCAAATGATGGGATCAGATCTGCCGGAAATAAGATACAGCACCTGGCAAAGCACGCACACCTGCTGCTGACTGAAGAGCATTCGTCTCTTCAACAACTGCCCTTCTCATCATCCCTTATCTCTCTTTTCTCCTGCCTCTCTCTCCCTACCCCCCCCATCAATTCGCTTCGTTTAGACCTCACCCGCCCTCGCTTTTTCTCTGTTTTTTTCCAATGACCAATCCCGGCTGCAACCCAATCACTGCAACAATCGCCACCCATCAGCCCGTCATCTACAAGTACGTGTCCTTATACCGACAAGTTGGAAACGGATTAAAAACAAAAAGTCAACATTGTCTAGGGCTGCTTTCAGCTCAAGCCAGGCAGTTGGAAAAAGAAGTTTTATTACTGTTTTAAGAACAGAAAGCATTTCTATCAATTACCAACGACCTCAGCTCAGTTGGTACACCCACAACCTGTTGAAATGCAGTCTTGAGTTCAAATCCTGACGGAACCAGACGAATGAAATTCTTGTATTGAGGAGGGCCCGTTAGTTCCACTGTGATATCTCAAGGCTGTCACCCTTAATAAGAAAGAAAGAAAAAAATAATAAAAATCTATCAGTTATGAGCACAGGTATAGGGTTGACGTATGGGGGGAGAGCAACAGGAGGTGGCTGTCGCCCTAAAAGATGTTGAATTACAATGCAAAGTTCTACAAACACCTCTTACATAAGGACCAACTTGAAATTCATCGCCGAGATGGATGGAGCAGCCAGGGACAGTTACTAGAGGTGGCTGCTCTTACCACCCCCTCTAGTGGTGGTCGCTGGTTAAAAAAAAAAAGAAAAAAAGAGAGAGAGAGAGATTCTTCGCGGAGGTTAGCAACGGGAGGTCATCCCAGATGGAGATAAAAATCAGAGGAAAAGTGCAGATGTACAATACAAGCAGCGTCAAGCACCCCTTTCAGATGAAGAGCAAATTGAGATCCCTAAGCTTTATGCAAGCAAGTTTTCCAAACTACTTGATCCTTAAATGAAAATGTAGGGATCGCATGTCCTTCAGGACATCCGTTAAAATAGGAACGATACAGAGAAGGAAGATTAGCATGGCCCCTGCGCAAGGATGACACACACATAAATCGAGAAACGGTCCAAATTTAAATAAGAATTTTTAAAAAAAAGTTGGGATGGCCACAGAATGGAGAAGGATTTTCTACCGAACACAGCCATATGCAAGGAATATGAGTGTGAGCGATATACAGAAAACCAAGTTGCGAAATCACACAGATGTCCAGGTAGTCATATCCAAGTAGAGAGTACAAATGCACCGAGAAACCATCCATTTACAGCAATACAATGAAGAAATGAGCCAATGTTCAAGCCCGTAGGCCACACCAACACAGTATCAAAAGTCGCTCCACTCTGTCTGGCGCCCAGCGCCGAGCCTACTCTACCCGACTATCCTACCTACAGCTGGTTCACGCAAGACGCTCACTTCGACTCTCGAAGACCATCGTACATGACTGTCAACACCATAGGCGACCTCTCTTCATGCACCAGGTACGTATCTCGTCACCCTCAGTCAGACCTTGATTACTCCACACTAGCCTTCTTCCCTGAAGACCACCCGATTGCCCTCCTAGCCCCTGGCGCTCAGCAGCCCGGCTATGGCTGCCTGCGCCCCGCTGCCCAGCAGCGCCCCACCTCACCACTACGCGCCCCGTCACCGCCCTTGGCAGCAGGGCAGCATCAAGTGATAGCGCAGCAGCACTCCCGCATTGCCTGCACTGGCCAGAATCCCTGGCCTGGGATGCCTCACTTCTTTAATGGAAGTGGCAGCCTCCTGGATGCTGTGTGTGGCCTGGCTGGAAGCTTCCAGTAGCTTCCGGTTGGGCCTCAGACCCTGCGCCCAGGCCCGAGACTACAGTTGAGGGCCTGGGCCCTTTTCAGTTGGGCACGGACTGAGTTTCCGTACTTGGGCTGTTTGCTGCATCTGTGCAGGGCTCCCAGGTAGGTGCGTCGGCAGTACTGCTTTTCCAAAGGCCGATGGCCTGCTTCCTAATGTATCGGCCCTGCTTTGTGTGTATGTGCCCAGGCGCAACTGTCAAGGCCTGGGTCAACTGTACGGTGCAGCTTTGTGAGCCTCACACGTCTACATAACCAACTGGCGTGCTGCGAGAGCCTGAATACCCACATATGGAAATGTCAAAATTTGGCCTTCGCCGAATATTCAGGCCCGCCTTCACTTAGGGTGGGCACTCGGCTTGCTGGGGCGTTAGCCCAGAACATGTGATGTCTGATAGGGCCCCTTGAGGGCTCGTTCCTCACATTCCATCCCCCTTAGCGTCTAAAGTCCGCTGAGATGCTTCATGCTGGTGCCTTCCCCTTCAGTTTCTTCTCATAATCTGCCACGATCTGAGGAGCTGTTGACAAGTTCCTCCCTTGAAATCCATCGATCTTCCTTAGGATCAGTCTGATGCCTGAAATGTACTCTGTATTCTTACTATTCCCTTGCAGGTTTAGGAGGTCTTACCCTGCCAGGTGGCTTGGGAACAGGCGTGTCTCTGTGATCCAGGATGTCATTGACATCCACGTGGCCATCCATGGTTGGGGGCGGCATAGATCTCCGTGATGGGAACTGTGCTGTCTCAGCAAAAGGTGCAAGCTTGGAGGCGTGAAAAACAGGGTAAGTGCGTAGGTGACCAAGGATACGAATGACGTAAGAGGGACCATCCAAATCATTTCCCACAATATCCAAGACTTCCCAGGGACCGAAATACTGAGGCATTAGTTTCCTAGAGATGACAAACTCCTGTCCCAACTCACTAGCCTTGACCCAGACATGTTCCCCTATCTGAAATGTGGACTGTCAGTGTTTCTCATTCTCAGAAGCAATCATGGCTTCCTGAGATTTCTTGATGTGTTCGATAGTCTGCTGCAACAATTTCTCGTACTGGACACCAAATTCAATGGTTCCAGGAGTTGCAGCAGTTCGGTTTTCAGGCAGGAGGAAGTCTAGAGCAGATCTAGGCTTCCATCCCAGATGCAGCTGATTTGGGGTGACCCCCGTGGTGCTGTGTACAGCGTTATTGTACAAACTGGCCACGACAGGTAACTTCTCATCCCAGTCATCCTGGCTGGGCTTGATGTAATGCCTCAGCAGATGCTGCACCACACGGTTCATCTGTTCAGCCTGCCAATTTGCTTCGGGATGATTCCCAGAAGTCATCTGAAGCTGGCTGCCCATCTGTTTAGCGGCCTTCTTCCACATCTTGCTGGTGAATCGCACATCTCTATCACTAACGATTGTCTTTGGTAGCCCGAAATCAGGCAACCAGTTATCCATGAATAACTTAATGACGTGTTCGGTCCTGGCGGTCTCTGGCATGGCAATTAGTCTAGTGAACTTAGTAAACCTATCAACTATGACAAATATGTGCCGCTTGCCATTCTTGCTGGTCACAAGAGTATCCATGAAGTCCATGGAGATGCTCTGCCCTGGGCCAGCAGGAATGGGTAGAGGCTTGAGTAACCCAAGCGGAGCTTGAGTCCGCAGCTTATCCCGCTGACAGACCTGACAGGTCTGTACGTACTTCTTTGCACCGTCCAGCATGTTAGGCCACCAAAATCGTTGTACTAAGTTAGCACTAGTCGTCTTGTAGCCGAAATGTACTGTTGCGTCGTGGCACTCACCTAAAAATAAACTATGCAAAATCTCCCTAGATGGAACAACTAACCTTTTAAAACCTGCCTTTTCAAGAAAGAGTAACTCATCCACC